CTTAGATGGTATCAACTCTCAATTCTCCCTCTCATTTTAAGCAGAGTTTACCCAAACGAAACAGAGGGAAACCTTTCTAAGCCAGAGTAAGGAAGCAGAAAAAACAAACACATGGTTTAAATTTATATATTTATAATAAAAGGAAAAAAGTGTCCCCTTTCTCTTTCCAAGAAGCTGTGCCCGCAGCCCTGGCACTGATTGTTCATGTGCCACAGGTGGGGCTGCCATCAAGCACATGTGGGTGCAGCAGTGCAGAGGGACCTACCTTCCTCTCCTCCTTGGTGCTGGCAAGCTTGTTGGTGCCGCCGGCAGTGGCCGCAGCAGTCATCGTAACCCAGAGGACGGGGGTGGAAGGAGGCACTCAGGCAGTGGGTCGCTCCCCTTCCCGATGGGCTCTTTGCTGCTCCGCTGCTCCTCCGCTGTATTTATAACCCAGAATTAGCATGTGAAAGGGGACTTGCTTTGGCGGGACTTCTTTTCCCACACGAGGGGTCGAGCCCAGAGGTTTGTGGCCATCAATCAAAGCTGACAGGTCACTGCTTCTTTTCAATGACCATGCCAGCCCCCCCAAACAGCGACAGATGTCCAGCCTCCACCGCCAGGCTTTGGAGGGCTCCTTTGTTAGGGCAGAAGAGAAGGAAAATGGGCGCACTCTGAGCAGCTTGCACAGCTCCTCGCTCAATTTGCACAGATTCCCAGGGAGGGAAACAATAGCTGGGAAGCAGTTGAGTTACACCTGGGAAAATGCCTTCTACCCCTCTTTTTTGCCCTTTATCTCCTTGAAGCAATGCCACTTCTTACCTGCTAAACCCAAGCCCCAGCCATTTTACATCTTTGAATCAGTCTTTTAATTTAATAATGGAGCACTAGGAGTTCCTGTTCCCAGGAATTATTATTACAGGGTAATGATGATCAATTAAAAACTGTTGACAGCAGACGCCTGTAGGGACATTGTTTCCATCACAGAAATCCTCTAGGGAAAACACAGGATCTTTATTTACCTCTTGGGAACCCAAATTCTCTGTTGCACATGGCTGGGTGTAGGAAATATGAAACTCTTCTAGTTCTTCGCTGCAGTGTAGAATTTAATATTAAAATTAGAGTCCATTGCAGATGCAAATGAACTTAGAGGTAAGTTAGTTCTGTGGGATTTTTACTTCTTTGATTTTTTTTTCCCCTGTGCTGCAAGGAGGCTTGGGTGGCTTTGAGGGGAAGGGTGTTTTTCTGTTCACTGTTCTGAAATGCTAGTGCAGAAGCAGACGGGCCTTTGGAGGAGACTTGGCACAGGATGAGAATGCGCTTTTATGCTTCCTCACTTCTGCCTGGTCTGGGTTGGGGGGTATGAAGGCGTTTTTCATGACTGTGCTTTTCCTTTCTGACGGTTGCTTTGCTAATGAGCAGGATTTGGCAACGTCCTGTTGAGTCCCGCAGGTGAAGCCCTTTGGGTTGGTGTTGAATGTGTCACCTTATTGAAATGGAGAGGAAGCGGCTGCAGTGGTTCAGAAGCACCACCAGCCATCCCGACCCACCAGTGGGATTTCCCAGCACCTGGGGTATGTCTGTAGCTGCAGAGCCCTGTCCCCACTCCTCCAGCCGTGGGTGGGGATGCACCCAGCGATAAAAGCGAGGACATCGTGTCCCTTGCTCGAACGCCGCGTGGGTGTGTGTTTGCCTGTGTGCAAATGCAAACATACTTGCAGCATGTCTGTACGCCCTGCTGCCTGGGCTCATAATGAAAACATGTCCCCAGACACAGAATCTCACAGGCAGAGGTTGTTTGTCAGTCAAATGCAGAACTGGGGTGCAGTTACCTGGTTTTATAAGCGCCCTACTTGGCAAGGGGCTTAGGCGGGCTGGTGTAGTTGTTAGGCTGGGAGAGGAGGGTTTGGGAAGGGAAGGTTAATAACTTGTGCTTTGTGCCAGGTAAAGGGAGCAGGGATGGACTCCTTATCTCAGGTGTGTCCCCCACCCACACAGCAAAAGGAGGTCCCATTGCCCTACGTGGGAGCCCCTCACATCAGCCAGCCCCGGCTGCTCACGAGTGAATACTCCTTTGGTTTTTCAAGCTTTTTCCAGCTCACCTGGTGAAGTGGAGCATTGCTGGTATTTTTGAAAGGCGTAGCTGAGGCATTCATATCGCCACATGACTCCAGCAGGTCAGTATGGAAGAGGCAGTGGGTGGGTTGGGGTAGGGCTTTGCCCTGCACGTGGGTAGGGAGGCATGGAGTGGGTGCACCCCTGCCTCTGGGCAGCTTGGTAGGGTGCTCAGGGCTGGAAGTGCCTGCCCGTCACCTGGGCACAGAGCTTCTAGCTAGGTTTGGCTTGACCCATGGGTGGGGAAGAGAGGTTCTCCATCTCCCTTGCAAACACCCCTCCACCAGCACCCTGTGCAGAAAGAGGCAGTCTGGACAGCAGGGGAAAGGGGTCTCTGGTGGTGGTGTCTCCTCCCTCACTCTCCCTTTCCTCCTTGGCCTGGACTTGCAGCTTCTGCCTTACCCTTCCTCCCACTTTCTCACCCTTCAAGGTGCCACTGAGCTCCTGGGCGAGGATGATGCTCTGTGAGAGGGTCATACACAGGCTCCCCCTGCAAAGCAGCTTCCATGAAGCAAGAGGGCGGGGGATGCTGGTGGTGAGGCAGTGGGTACCAGGGACAGATGGGTGTGATGGGGCGCCAAGAACAGTGTGGTGGCCCCTGGCACCCAGCCATAGTCTGTGCCCAGCCCACGCAGGGCAGCTGAGCCCCCAGCCTTGGCGGGTGAGACCCTGAGCAGCCATTGGCTTGTTCATTGGCGTCTGCTCCGGGTGAGCTCGTTTCAAGGTTCATTTGTAAGACAGCACAGCAGTGAAAAAGAAGAGCAGCTTTTGCTGTAAACAGTTATTTTACACCTCTCAGTCAGGGCAAAGGCCTCTATTTGGAGGCGGGGGAGTGTGGGCAGGAGAGCTGCCCTGGCTTAGGGGGGAAGGCTGACATCTGTGCCTGGGATTGTAGGGACCCAACAGGCCAATGCAAATGAGCATTAACGGGAGCTTTCTGCAAATTCCCGCTTTCCTTTTGCAATGCCCACTGTGCCAGGTTTCCCTGAAAAGGGGATTCTCCTTCATAAACAAAGCCTCCCTTTTTTTCCTGGGCTTTCCAAAAGAAAAAAGAAAAAAAAAAAAAAGGAAAGAGAAAAGAGAAAAGGGTCAGCGCTGCTCGCAGTTTTCTTTTTTGCTATTTGTCTACATTTCACACTCTGGAGAAAGAAAACAACTTTTAACATCTGTTCCTGCACTTTTTAAGAGAGAAAGAAAGGCTCTTGAAAAGGGAGAAAGTGTGGCAGATGTTGGCAGGTTCCCTCCGACGCAGATGTCTTGCTCCGAAGAAAACTTTCTTTGGGGATTGGCAGCCAGGGCTCCTCTTTGACTCAGGACACGCGACTGCCTAGCGAACGAAGGGACGTGGGAAAGCGCCGGCGAACAAAAGGGCTTATTCAAACAAACCTGAGAGCCGTGAACAATCTAATAACCAGCAGAGAAATGGTCAGCGGCCCTCGGCCCCACTGGGGAGGGGTTCGGGGCAGCTGGAGGCCATGGGATGAGGGAATTTTGCTGCATCCCCAGGGCTTCGAGCAGGGGTGACCCCTGCTTGCCCCCCGCCTGCTCCCTCTGGGGCATCCAACATGGTACTTTGGCCAAGGACCATTTTCTCAAGGTGCTAAATGGCCTCAGCTGGCCCACAGACCCAGCGGGAGCTGGCTTCCCCATGGCAGGAGATGGGTGGCTGGGCTGGGCTGTCCCACACACCGGCCAAGGCACCGGTAGGTGCCAGCCAAGGCAACGAGAGAGGAGCAAATACCAGACAGTAAGGATATGGCAAGACACAGCATCTTGGTACACAAATTTAAATAAGCTTTCACATAAGAGGTTATGCCAAGGTAATAATAAACCCTCCCCCCAACTCTGTTGATTAGGACGAGTTGAAAGATCCTTGTGAAACTGATTTTGAGGAAAGATTTTTTTAATGGAAAGCAAAAATACTGAGAGAAATAAGTATTTTCTGAGAACCTTTCATTCACCCTCTCCCCTTCTCTCTGGCTGGTAAAATAAAACAATTTAAAATAAGTTTTTGGTATGAAAGCTGGTAATATTTCAGTTTAGATACTTCATAGGGAAAAAGTGAGAAGCCTAGAGAAATGGGAGCAGCGCCAAGAAAATTCTCATAAGAAAGTAACTAATTCTGGTTTGCAGTTAAAACTGAGGAGCTCTGTGATTATTCCTCTAATTCCTCCAAGATTTGTTCTGCCTCATCTCTGTCCCAGTCCATTTTCTCTGGGCTCTGGGCAGGGCAGAGCCACTCCTGCCAGCAAGGCTGTCTTGTGCTGGGGCAGCTCTGCCTCTTACCTGCTTGGGGCTGGAGGGGAAAGCCTGGTGCGATGTAGCTGTGTTGCCTCTTTGGAGGTCAGGTGCTGGGGTGAGCAGCCCAGACCCTTGCTGTGGGTGTCCCCTATGCCTCTGCTATCAGCAAAGCCCTCCCTGCATGGCGGCTGGGAAGCAGGAGCCATCTCAGCGGGGCTGAGGAGCCCCACACTGCAGGAAGGATGCTGTGCATGTCATCACAGACCTGCACGCCTGCCCAGGCTGGTCCCTCCTGTCTCTTGCCATTGGGAGATGCTGTGGACCCCAGCTCACAGCCGGGGAGGATTGTGCAGTGCTGGGGCAGCCCCAAGTCCAAACCAGCCCCTGGCTGGCTAACAAAACGGCCTCATTAAGGCAGCCAAGGCTTTTGCAGGGATGGATTTGCCATGGGGTAGTGGGAGCAGGGGACAAGAGATGAGCAGGTACTCCCAGCACCTGTTGTGCTACACATGGGGTTCATGACAGGACCTCCTCTTCTCTCCAGGCTGGGGACACGTCCGGACTGGATTTGTCCCCAGTTGAGCAACTGCTTGTCCCTCTTCTGAGGGGTGTGAGCATGGATCCTTGGCCCACAAGAGATGCTGGCAGGACAGGCTGCCAGGGAGCGGAGGGGATGCTCAGGGTGTCCTGCCCCCTCCAGCCTTCCCAGCTGGGTGGAGGTTTGCTGGGTCTGCTTTTATTATGGAGGTTTCACCTGTGGCACATGCAATGGCACAGTGTTTGTGGAGCGAGGAGCAAAGCGTGGGCTCAGGACCGGGCAGGGTACGGTGAGGGCAGCAGCTGCTGCCAGCACGGAGAGCGAGTCAGCCCTGATGTGCAACCCCAGTGCGCCTTCCGAACCCTCCGCTCCCTCCCTCGGGGATGGGCTCCAGACCCGCCGTAAGCAAACACTCCCTGAGGAGAGGCTGTTTTTACAGGGGCTTTAGTCATTAT